AAAAAAAAAAAAAAAGAAAAAGAAACAGAAACAAAAGGTCAAAGTAATCCATTAAAGGAATTCTGTTACTTATAACAGGATTCTTATTTTATTAATTTTTAATATAGACTTTGTTATACAACTTTAAATATCCCTGAAATAAAATTATATGCAGCATTTAGTACCAAAAAAAAAATTTTAACCTTATTCCCTTCTGTTTGCAACTCTATTTTGAGAAATATATCATGCAACTCTCCACAATGATGACTAAAACTAAATTACAGTTATCTCCAACCCACAATATATTAATTTTTGTTCAAATATTTAAATGTGAATGCATACAAAAAAACTGAAAGACCAGATGTAGCCCAATTTCAAATATAAAAAGGAATGATTAAGATAATTCACTAACCTCATTAATCAGGAACTGGAGCTGAATTACAGCAGCTCCACTGTCATGCTGGCAATAACATTCTACTCCCGGACGACCAAAGCTATCATAAATTCCATTAAGGAGTTTTTGATATGTGTGGCCTTTTTTTCTTTAGAGAAATTGATAAGTTATAACAAACTAATAAGTATTTTGATAACCTGGTATTTAATAATATAGGGCACTTACTGAGGTGGAGATTTAGAGTTAGGTTTACTACACATTAATTAGTTTCTGTCGATAATCAGAAGTCTCACCGATTACAGTTCTAAAAGAAATTAAAAAATAGATCCTTCTAGTAAAAAAATGAAGTATTAAACTCAGCAATATGGAAAAACACGAAATAGTTAAAATATTTTACTCTGGCCCAAAATCTTTTTTTTTCCTTTTAAAATTTTCATATAACAGAAAACATTTATATAACATTTTTTATGTGCCACCCATTTTTATAAACATGTTTCATAATATTAAATATTTTAATCCTCATAACCCATGGAAGAATATATTAATATTCCCTATGATAAGGAAACTGAAGTACAGAGAAATTACATAACTTGACCCAAGTCACACAACTACAAAGTAAAAGAGAAGGAATGTGAATATGCAACATGGTTCCAAGGTGTTCACTTTTTTTTTCCCCCCAGTGCTGGAACTCAAATCTAGGGTCACTGTCATGTTAAGGACAAACTCTACCACTAAGATGTACCCCTAGCCCTACATTCATAATAGGTATGCTAATCAATAAAATGGAACAAAAAAGGCTATACACTCAATAGAATCCCCTGTGTGCAGTTAAATACATTTCACCTTCATAATCTTGATCATTTTAACATGTTAGTACACTAATCCAATTTTCACTACTTAATAAATACTAATAGTAACCAAAATAAAAATCTTTGGTGGGATTTAATAAAATTATAACTCTCTCTATAAACTCAAATCCAGGAATATAGACATTTCATTAAGCTAGGGATTAATAAAAAATTAAATTGTAGCATAGGTTCAATTTGTGCTTCTCCCATTTGATTTCTAGACATTTTCCTAGGTAATATTTATTTTCAGTAGGGTTTTTTTTATTTTATTCAATTAACTTCTATTTCATAACTTTACAGACTGATTTGAGTATGCTTACCTTATACTCAAAACCTAGAATTACTGTTATTAGCAGTATTGATAATTGTAATAGTGTTTGACACACCAGTACAAATGCAACTACAGAAAGCAGATTTCAAATTGCTAGTATTGGCACTATGCAAATCACATCAAAAGTCAAGAGAAATATCTATATGCCTGTTCACACATTTCTTTTCTCAGGTGACAAGACAGATCATTACAGTGAGACTAATTCTAATCTTTTCAGCTAAATTATTTTTGCATCAATGACTATATTTTAAAATTCTTTTTACATGAATCAAGTTAGTTAAATTTTTCTGAGCAGACCAGGAAAACTAATGTAAAAATTGTGAGCTACTATGGAGAATCATAAAAAATATATTCATCTTAATATTATCACAAAATATATATCACTTTACTAATCTTCTAATGCTAGCCCATGACCTTTCCTTTGAGTATGGATTCAGAGTTGTTTCTCTTGAATAAAACAGCTCTAACTACCCAGATTTAAGATTTCTAGTTTATCTGGATCCAGATTTGGTGTCCATTAGTGGATGAATAGATAAAAGAAAATGTGGAATATATACCCAATGTTCTTTTTAGTCATAAAGGAAAATGAAAGTGTCATTTACAAGAAAATGGACGGAAATTGAGAGATTTACAGAAAGGGAAAAAACCCAAACTAAGGTGTTCAAGTGCCATATGTTTCTTGCATATGTGGAAGCTAGAGAGGAAAAGGAAAAAAAAAGTGGAGCAGGGATCTCACGAAAACTGAAGGGAGATCAGTAGAGTAGAGGAAAGGAATCATGGAGCGGGAGAAGTGTAAGGAAAGGGAAAATACTCAGGGATGATATTGGCCGTGTTATATGGTTATGTTGAATGCATGTATGTAACAATAAATCTCACCATTATGTAGAACTATAGTGCATCGATAAAAATATAGAGAAAAATCATCCTGTATAAGTGGAAAAAATTATTTCTAGCTTAATTGTTTAAACATATCTTAAAAGATATTGGCTGTGAAATTCAAGTTCAACATTCATAAAAAAATGTTATTCCTTCTCAATCATCTACAGTTATGGGAAATTTTGGCATGGAAAAACACAAACTATAGAGTACAGAGTTCTCAATCTTGTTATCATGTTAGAATTCTAGAACCATTGCAAACGTATTGCCAGAGAAGATACCTGGGTGGGTAGGTCAGTTATTTAGTTAATTTGCTTATTTATTTAGGAACATCTGAGACACAGTGAGAATGGAAGATCTCTAATTTCAAGTCAGTTCATATGCCAGTTCTGCCATTATCTGCTGTAATATAATGAGAATTATTGTAACTTTCAACGTTGTAATCTGTGAAGTAAAGATGAGACTTATTAATCTAATAGCAAACTAATTTGTTATTTATTAAAATAACAAATATTAAATAACAAGTTCTTTAAATAACCTAAAACTAAATGTTATTTTACAGTGAAGGTGCCATTATAAGAAAATGTCAATTTTGAATATCAGATCACTAAACAGCATGCCACAGAAACAAACATTCACATCCTTTCACACCTATGGTGATTACTGCTTCTGGTACATGTGGTTCTTCCTGATACTAACAACACTGAGAGTTAAAATTCTTATGGAAAATGGCCAAAAACTATAAAAAAGATCTGCTTGGTATATTATTCCCATATATCATGGCTACATTCTTTATAATTAAATGAAAAAGCAAAATTTTTTTACATTAAAATGAAGATGAATCAAAAGAAGAGTACATATTGAGTAATAGTATAAATATATTTGTTAAATGGAGAAATATTATTCTGATATATACTTTTTATACATGTATGAATCAACTCTAAGGCAAAGCTAACAATAAATCTTATCTTAGTACACTGTCTCACCTTGTAACTCTGAATTCCAATATAATATTTTCAAAATGGTACCATCATCCTAAGATAACTTTGTGTCCTTAATTTTTCTACTGCTTGCCTATCCAGAGCTATGATATCTACCTAATCTTGTTATTCATCTTTGTTTCTGGGAAAAACCAGTTAATTTATCTGACCCATGTCATATGGCAGATACTTCTTGCACAGTTACATTCATGGTCCTTGTCCAAAAAAGCACCACTGATAACAGTCACACTTCTGAAGAGGAGATGCAGAAGCCAAAGTTAAAATATACTGGGAGCAGAGACTTTGAATGTTAAGGTTAGTTAATTGAGACACATAAATAATAGGGGAAAATAATTATAGAAGTAAAACGCACAATGAAACTAGAAATTAAGTAGGAACCATCAGGAAGAAGTATACAACATTGATGAGCAGAAACAAAAAGCTTACTTATAGAACTATACATCAATTTAAAAATAAACATGTATCCAATTGCCTAAATTGACTATCGTTGTTGCTGTTATGATATTGGCTGGGTGACTGGTTAAGAAGGGAGTGATAAAGGAGGAACTAGGATACCCTTATATCCATCATCCATTATCATCATCATTGAGATTTATGAAACATTCGATAGGTGTCAATAACTATGGATGTATTACTTTACAATAGTACTTCTGTGACAAGTTGTTTTTAATAAATGAGAAGAGTCAGGTACAATAAGTAAACTGTCCAAGGTAATTTGTATGTTAGTTAAGAAAACTGACCCCAGATAATCTAATTTCAGAACCTACTGTGTAAATCACCAAGCTTTATCATACAAAAATGGAATGTATGTTAAGAGCTGAATTTCACATGTAAATTTGTCACTTCCTACCTTACCATAAGTCATCTTAAAACTGGGAGAATGAACATAGAAGAGATTTATTATCCATATTTTACATATGAGTAGCTAAAACACTCAGATTGTTCTAATACTATAAAATTGGACCAAATGTAACTTTTAGTAACAAGTAAACTTGATAAACCAAGTAAGTGGTTATCCTTAGGTAGCTGGGGTCATGCCCTTAAAGGGACAGTGGGACCTTTGTCTCTCAGTCTTTCTTTGCTTTCTGGCTTATGAGAGGTCTGATCAGACACATACTCCCTGCTATTGCCATTCAGCAGAGAGGCCCGTGGAAATGTGGCCATCTGAACTTGGACTGGAAAATTTAGAATCATGAGTTAAATAAACTTTTTCTAAGGTAAATGGCTTACATATTTCATTATTGAATTGTGAAGGTCATAGGAATGGTACATAATATTCCAATCAAAAAATACAATACACTCATTTTTCATATTAGCTCAGGATCTAATATTAAATATTAATTTTAATAACAAATCAATGTGTCCCAATAGGGCAAGTAAAATGAAATTCTATATTTCAATTTAGAAACTATCATCTTTTTTTATAATATTTTTTTAGTTGTAGGTGGACACAATACCTTTATTTTATTTATGTGGTGCTGAGGATCGAACCCAGGGCCTCAAACATGGGAGACGAATGCTCTACCGGTGAGCCACAGCACCAGCCCCAAACTACCTTCTTGTATACCCTTCATGTCTAAATATTTAGAGACTAGAGCCATGTGAGAGCAATAAAGCAGCAAACAAACAAATGGAGTCTTGGGTTTAGTTCAGTGGTGGAATACATACTTAGTATTTATGAAGTCCTGGATTCAATTCTCTGCATAAAAAAAAGTTTAGTATATCAAACATCATCTTACTAAAGATAATACAATATGTTAGAGAGAGAGATGGTAGGGGAGAGAAAAAAGCTTGCAGGATTAATGAAATATACTATGTTAGTAGAATAAAGGACAAAAATCACATTGTCATTTCAATGGGCATAAAAATTTATAGACAAAAATCAATCCTTTTCCATGGTAAACCACTCAATAGAACCAGGAATAGAAGAAAACTTCTTCAATGTAACAAAGGACATCTATGAAAAAGTCACAGCTAAGCTAACATCATACTTACTGGTGAAAGACTGAATAGCTTATCCACTAAGATCCAGCCTATAGGCTAG